GGCAAATGACAGGTCTAGAAGGAGTAAGAACCTGACATAGTAACATTAATGACTTAAGTTTATAATAATGTTTCTTCAACTCACATCTAATGTTTTGAGCCAAGGTAAAAAAGGGTTAAATGTATAATAAGTTATGTATATTAAAGTGAAAAACTTCATTAATAAAGGTTAATGTCACTAGATGAGTCAAACCTATTTGTTACTCCCAATTTTTATTCATAAATAAAGCAGTTCATTCATATATATTATTAGGGTGGATCTTAGTCTTTTAAATTCTTAGGAAAGTTTTAAAACGGGAAAAACCCCATTAGTATTAGTATGTTTACTTTTGGTATTTGTCAGTTGACTGAAAAAAATACAAGAATTGAATTCAATTGAATTGAATTCAATGACAATTTTAAAGAAATATGTTTTATTAATCATATCAACTTCCAAATGTCATTGGAAAAATACCTATATTTGCAAGACATACAGTCTATGGATAATGCTTTATACTCATATGCACTTATAAATACTATGCATAACTTACTTGCTTTCCATAGTCTCTGGCACACATGTTAACACAGTGTTTCATTTTTTTTTAATATTCACAATTCTATGAGGTAGGTAGGTTAGTAATAGGATCCCCATTTTACAGAGTCTTAAAAAGTTAAACAGTGTAAGGTCATAGTCTACTGAGTGACATTTAGTGGTTCCAGATACCTTGAATATGAATGGAATATAAGTCATAATCTCAGATACTATTTTCTTTTGAATTATGCTAGATTGACTCTGCAGACAACCCAAAATTAATAGGTCCTTATCATCCAAAAAAAAGCTAAGTTATCCTTAAACATCAACTTTCTCATCTCTTTTGTTCCTGTAACCTAAATTTGAGGGTTTAATGGAATCAGGGGTGTTGAGTCTGGAATATGGGAGTGGGGCAGCAGAGGTCTCCTATATCCCTCAGGTTTCTCTCATCTTCCTTGACAGGGATTTGTTGAATAGAAGCTGAACTTTCCTATGTAATAGCCTCTTCTTCAGTGCCAAAACATCTCCCTCTATAGGCTTTGAAAATGAACTCTAGAGCTCCTCTCTTCCCATTTGTAAATTGAGAATAATTTCCAATGTAATTGCAAACTATATTCAGATACATTCTAGGTGCATTTCTATTCATTCATTGAACAAACATTCTAATGTCTAAGCGACTTTGGGTCCTTTTTGTCCCCTCTTCCCCTTTTGATACATCAGTCATCCACAATCTTCCTCTGGAATTTTGGGGATCTTCTTTTCCTCAGTATTCAAATGTGTTCATAATGTCTCTCATCTAATTGTTAGACTGCAGGAGTCTTAAAAGACCACACAAATGCATTGTTTACGTCCAGATTTTAATAAATTAACTTAAAAAAACACTGATTAGATATTTAATGATATTGAAGAATTACTGTGAATTTATTTTTTGGTACAATGGTTATATGAGGATATATAAAACATATTTTCTCTTTTTATATACACATTGAAATATTTATGCATGTCTGTGATTGACTTTAAAATGGTCTAGTTGTAGTGTACAGTTGGAACAAGGCTATGAATTAATAATTATTGAAGCTGGGTGATGGTTACATGGGATAAGGTTCCTGACATTATTATTTATTAAAACTTTCCATATACATAATCTCTCATCTTAAAACTCCTTTGGATCAATAACTCCATTACTCTATCGCTCATTCTTATCTTTAAAGAGGAATACATTTTAACTCTACTCGTATCCTTTTTTCTGGTTCCTCAACATTTATGTATATGTGTATATGTTCAGTTATTCAGCATAGGTTAAAAATACTATTTAACAGATACTATGTTGGAATATAAAGATGAAAGACATGATTCTTAAAGTTGGCCCATGTGCCTTATAAGTATTTTTGTAAAATATCAACAGTCATAGTATGTAAATATTCATTGTTATTACTAACCTGTGAAGAGCAACCATTCTCACATTAGTTATTATGTTTTTATTTTTGTGATAATTTTGTAAGCAGAATTTTACAAGACTTTCTGTGAACTTAGTTTCTTGATAAATAACTTATATRTCTCAATTTCATATTCCAACTTCTCCTTTCTATTAGTTTGAACTACAATAGTTTTCAATACACCTCCATTTTACTCTTTTTACAAAGAAGCTGTRGTTGCCATACTAATCCTCATAAGCTATTTTGACAATATGATTTTTATTTCTATTTTCAAATTTCCTAAATGGCTCCTTAATAGCCAGGACCTTTCATAAAACAAACAAACAAACAAACAAAAATGCACAAAGAGTGCTTAGTACAAAAGCTTGGCACCAGCATTCAGCTGGGAATACTGCTACATTGCTGAAAATTAATGAACTTGAGCTGGCAAAATTAGTTATCCCTATGTGTTAAAATAAGAATGTATCCCTATGCAAAAAAATCAGTGTGTTATGTATTAAAAGTAGTGAAATAAAATGTAGATAATTTTAAAACAATCTCTGTTAAGTTCTTCAGTTTCCAAGCTGTTGTTTACTGCTGGGTTTCTTAGGGCCCCACCTTACACAAGAATAGTTTGGCAATCTGCTGATGACCAGTAAGGAATTTGTATCCAGATTTTTGGGCTCCTACTCTGCAGTTCCCTCTGCCTCCCAATTTTTGCTCTTCAAGTTCCAGGCACTAGTAGCTTCAAACTCTATCTTGGTGTGTTCAACCTAGAAAGACTGTTAGGGTTATACTATTTTGCATTCCAGCCTGGAAAGTGCCTTTTAGGAAAAAGCAGAGATGAATTTGGTACTCTACTAATATGCTCTCCTTCTCCAAAGAGTTATAGTTTCTAAGATTATGCCTATGCTGATTATTCTCAATGCATTCAAACAGTGTGGGTATGTTGCTCAGTTCTCATTGATGTTTCTGGAAAGCACGTTAGTCCAAAATAAGCAGTCATGGCTGAACTAAAAACTAGTGATGAAAGTCTTTTGTTGGTTTCTCATTTTTCTGTTGGTTTCTTTAAACATTTCATCAGTGATTATTTTATATTGTGACTTTAACAATGTCAGTATTTGATTTTTTCACAGACTAATCTATTGTTTCTGCTGACTCTCATTCACGGTAGATTACTTCCTTATGTGTTTGGTGATCTTTCATTGTGAGATCATGTTTATTTTAACATAAGCTATTCCTGGAAACTTAAGGTAAAGTTGTTTACTCTAAAGAGAAGTTGTATTTGTGTCTGCTCAGAAGCAGACCTGGGACATATCATCTCTGGCTCCTCTTTGAAAATCATTTTATATCATTTATTGTCTTATTACTGCCTGTTCTATATTACTTCTGATTTCTTATTAAGTACAAAACCAAAACAATACCAGGTTTAATCAGGAAGAGCACAGTACTAAAAAGGTATTATCATTCTTGTTTTGGAAATTCTACTTAGCACTAGTATCAATTAAAGACATATTACTTCTTTTGTCAAGTATAGAAAAAAGAACAGCAACAGAAAAAAAGGGGGAGATGTGTAATTATCAAAAACTCCAAAGTATCAGGTTTCATATAAATTATAATTCTATTTATCCTTTGACAGTATAAAACACCCATAATTTAAAAAATTAAAAATGGAAACAGAAAACAATGTACTACATCTTATAAAGAGATTTACAGCTAAGATATCTGGTTGTACACACCCCTTTTCTCAACCATTTTGTCATATTAATCCTTACAAAGATGTCATGGTGTTGGATCATCAACATAAATCCTCATTTTTGCCCAACATAATCTACTTGATGTTAAGTTCTTCCAACCTACATTTTCAAAGTTGAATTTTATACATGTATGAATCAAAATGAAGAATCTAAAGGGTATCAAAATTTTAAGACTGGGGCTAGTCTCAATCTGAACTGTTTATTTTTTTATGATAACATGTTAAACGGAGTTACCTTCCCTGAGTGAATAATTTACCAGTTGACAAGCCTAGGTGAAAGGTTATAAATACTTTAGCAGTAGTTACACTGAGATTGAAAATGAGGGCCATTAAAAAAATTACTATAATGAAAAGCAAATTCAGTAAAAATAACTTTGGAAAAAACCTGACAGACCTAACTGATAAGAGCACATAACTAGAATATTCAGTAGTATATCTTAATGTCAGCCTCTTTTATATGCATTCAACTAATGAAAAGTTATTTTCTAACCCCTCAATTAATCAGTTCTATCTGATCACATTTTTTAATGGGAAATAACTAACAGTTTCTGCTCCATCCAGCTCATTTTTATTGCTTTTTATCCCCAAAATATAGACATATAAAATAATAAAAAGAAAAATACCATGCAGTGAAAAAATATCTTATTCACCAAAATTTTAAGGAGAGAAAAATTATTTTCAGGTAAGTTTTTAAGTTAAATTTAGAAGTTTCCCATTTTCTCCTTTTAATGTGTTTAACCTTTTAAAATCTGATCTTTTGACAATGTCTATAAAATCTTGAAATTATTGCTATCAGCAATATAATTTAGATTTTTTTAAAAGTTGAAAATACAGAATAAATAAATTTATTTATGCCCCCAATGCTAATCTCAAGAGAAATTACATCTTGAAATGTAAAAGTAATGTTAATTAATTAAGTAAATTTAAGCAGGGAAAAGTACAAAAATTCACATTTATTTCTTCCAGAATTTAAACCCAACCAATTTTAACATTTTGTGTATTTCTTTTTAGTTTTTCTTTTTTCCCTATACATAGATTTGTAACGTACTTTACTCATATAAATTTTGTCCCCCCCCCCCCCGCCCCACTAAACATGAGATCATAGAACAAATTCTATTGTTTGGGAAAACTGGTTAAGAGAATACAGTCACTAATAGATAACTGTGCTTTAGTATTCACAGTTTAAAGACTGTTTTCAGAAAACATGAAGCCTAAGAATCAGTATTTGTGGTTTCTTATCTGCCTATTGTAGAATTCTACTAATCAATTAACAAATACCAAACGAAATGTTTAATTTTCAAGGTAATTTTACTTCTCACCTTTTGAGCTGCAAGATGGAGGGCTGTTCTTTGGCTATGGTCAGTTTTATTGACATTTGCTCCTGCCTTTAGGAGAGCATCTGCGCAGTCCAGTCTGTCAGCCAGTACACAATACATAAGTGGTGTTCTCCCAAATTGGTCTTCTTTGTCTTTCAGAGCTGAGTTTCCTGTGAGTACAAGAAACAGTGATATTTAATAATGTCTATCACTAATATAAGTAGGAGTTACATTAAATGTTTATTATTAAGCACTCTACTAGTGCATTAGATGTATTTCTTCATTTTTACTTACACTATGAGGTAGATATTACCACTCCTGTATTATGGAAACTGAGGTTCAGGCAAGTTAAATAACCTGTCTACATTCATACTGAAAGTAGGTGGTAGAGCTAGAATTCAACTGATTAATAATTCTACAGGACATTTTTCCTCTAAGACTGAATAAACAATTTTGCGATACGGAGTTACTTATGTTCTTCCCTCCTTTGTTTGGTTAACAAATGCTTATTTAGTGCCAATCATATACTAGGCAATGCATATGTTTTTATAAGTGACACAAAAATGAATCAGGGTTGGTTTTACATTCTATCCAAGATGGACAAATACACAATATCCTGATCTTCCTGCTAATGACCACTAAAAACCCTGGACAAAAAAGTAAAAAGAAGTAAGAAGACAAAAGTAAAAAGAAGACAAGAGAAGGCAGGCTGAGGAGGGTCTTGGAAACTTGACAATCTGGTGGCAAGTAGCCTGAAGTTTTTTTCTTCTGTATCTAGCTATCCCGGTGCTAGAAAAGCCTAAAATCTGGAAAAACCCACTGGCACAGATATAATATTTCCCAAGAGATAACTGCTCTCTCCAGTCAAAAGATCAGGTAACCCTGCAGAGTAAACTCTTTTGATTAAACCTGCTCTACTCAAAGCACATACTAAAAAAGAAACCACGCCTCTTCTTCCCAGTAGGCCCTGCAAAGACTATGGGGAGGAGTCCAGTCAACCATAGCTGCCTAAATTAAGGAAAGGATCACAATGAGGTGATGGTGTACCCTTTCTCAACCAGAGAACAGGGGAGGGTTCTGGAGAGTAGGAAGCTAGAGAAAATTCTTTAAACTGATGCATGGGTTCATAGATGCTTCTGAGCAACCCATGTATGGAACTGATTTGAATCTAAACAGCAAAAGCTCTGATAATTAAACTCTAGGTAGAATACTTTCCAAGTCCTAAATTGGCCTAGGCAGCACAGAAATAGGGCAGACTAGAAAAGCCCTACAAGAGCTCTAAAAGATAAATTGATATTTTATCACAGTCCACAAAACTGAAATAGAATATTTACTCCAAACTGAAACAGACTGTCAATCTACTAAAGTAGAATATTTAAATAGAATCTAGCCTTATTATATCTAAAATGTTCAAAAGACATATAATAACAAGTATTAACAAGGATATAGAGAAATCAAAATCTTCACATAGTGCTGGAAAGAATATAAAATGGTAGAGTCACTTTGGAAAATAGACTGGCAGTTCCTCAAAACCCTAAACACAGAATAACCATTTGGCCCAATAATTCTTTTTTTTTTTTTTAATAGTGGTGCTGGGTATTGAACCCAGGGCCTTGCACATGCAAGACAAACACTCTACCAACTGAGCTATATCCCCAGTCCTCCACTTCTAAGTATACATTCAAGAGAAATGAAAACATATCTACACCAAAACTGGTACACAAGGTCTACAACAGTATTATTCATAATGGCCAAAAGATGGGCATAATTCAAGTGTCCATAARCTATTGATCAACTGATGAGTAGATAAACAAAATGTTGTATATCCACACATTGAACCATTATTCAATAAAAGGAATGAGTTTTAATATATGCTACAACATGGATGAATCTTGAAAACATTATGCTAAATGAAAGAAGCTGGTCAAAACACCACATGTTGTATAATTCCACTTATATGAAATGTCTGGCACAGGAAAATCTATAGAAACAGAAATAATATTAGTGGTTGCCTAAAACTGGGGGCAGGGATCAGATTCCCAGGATCCCAGCTAAAGGGTTCAGATTTCTTTTGGGCGGGGGGTAATGATATTATTCTAAAATTAATTGTAGTGGTATGTGTACAACTCTGTGGACATATAAAACCACTAAATTGTACTCTTTAAATTGGTGACTTGAATGACATGTGAATTATATCTCAATAAAGCTGTTAGAAAAGGCCCCACTATATATAAATAAAATAGAATACTAAAAATGCTTAATAAATGGAAAGGAAGACAGGAAAAGTGAAACAGGAATTAAAAACAGAAGAAACACAGAGTGAACACAAACTGGAAATCTTAAAATTCTAACATCCATTATTAGAAAATGAAAGACTGAGATGGATAAAAAATAAGAGGAGCCAAATATATGCTATTTATAAGAAATTCACTTAAAATAGGATGACATAGGTGGCTGAAAGTAAAAAAAATATGCAAAGATATAACATACAAATATTAATCAAAAGAAAGCTGAAGTGAAGTAATATCTAATAAGGTAGACATTGGAGCAAAGACATTTATTATAATAGTAAAAAGGTAGATTCACTAAGAATATATAGTAACTCCAAATGTATATGTACCGAAGATGTACCAAATAATAGATCTTTAAAATATATGTAGCAAAAACTGATAGAATTGAAAGAAACATTTGAAACTTTCAAAATTATAATTAGTCACTTTGACTCCCCTTTTCAATAATTGCTACAACCTCTAAAATGAAAGTCAGCAAGGATACAGAAAAATGAACAATATTATAAAGAAACAGATCTAACTGATATTTGTTGAATTCTTTGCCTAATGATAGTCAGATACAGTCTTAAAATACCCATGGAACATTCATCTTCAAAAAAGACAATTTCTGGTATAAAACCAAACAATAAAGGATTAAAAAAAGGAAGTCATACCAAGTATGTTCTCTGGTAATAATGTAATTAAACCAGAAACCAGTGTCAGTATCATAACAGGAAATCACCAAATTCACTTTGAGATAATCCATGGGTTAAAAAGAAAATCTCAGGGAAATTTAAAACATAATTAAAGGAATGAAAATAAAAATATTGTTGTAAGATTCTTACCCTATAAATGAGGGAGGCTTACAAGGAAATGTACAGCATCGAATGTTTGCATTAAAATATACGGACAGTTTCAAACCAATGATCTAAGTGCTTATATCTTGGTATTCTAAGAAAGGAGAGCAAATTTAACCTAAAACAAGCAGAAGGAAGGATAAAAATAATAACAGAGATCGATGAAGTTAAAAATCAGAAAAACAACAGAGAAAAATCAATGAAGCTTAAAGTTCTGGGAAAAAAATGATACATCTGTAATAGGATTGATCAATAAAAATAGCAGACACAAATTTCCAATATCAGGAATGAAAGAAGGGGCCATCTTTCAGAGCTTGCATACATTAGAAGGAAAACAGGGAAAAGCAGAACTATTTTATGCCCATAAATTTACAGTTTAAGTGAAATGGATAAATTCCATGGAAGACATAATCACAGCCCACTTACAATACAGATACCCTCAACAGTATTTACGGTAGGCAAAACTCTAAGGTAGCTTCCAAATTACCCTAGTATATATGGTGTGTGTGAYCCCTTCTTCCTGAGTGTGGGCAGGGCCTGTAAATATGATCAGATGTCATTCCCATGATCAGGTTCTGTTTTGTAAAAATTTAAAGGGATTTTGCAGATGCAATTAAGGACCTTAAACATTCAACTTTAAATTAATCATATTATCTTGGATGCATATATGTATATATATATGTATTTATGAACTTATTTATTTACTTATTCATTTCAATTCTGGGGATTGAACCCAGGGCCTCATGCATGCTAGGTAAGGACTCTATCATTGAGCTACATATTTGATCCTTTGTGTTGCTTTTTGCTTTGTGTGTGTGTGTGTGTGTGTGTGTGTGTGTGTGTGTGTGTTGCTAGGGATTGAATCCAGGGCCCTGTGCATGCTAGGCAAGTATTCCACCATTGAGCCACACTCCCTACCCCTCCTGTTGCTTTTTAAAAGAAGTTCCGGTCAGAGATGGAGGAAGTTGGAGACATTTCAATCAACAGAAACACTCTCCTCAGGCCTTAGAGAAGCAAGGTGCCATAAATCTTAAAGCTAAAAGAAGGTGAATTCTGCAAACATGTACTTGGAATAGAATTTTGATATTTTAGATGAGACCCCAATGTGGCTAACGCTTTGACTGCAGCCTTGTGAAATCTTGAGCAACAATACCTGCTAAACCATATCTAGACATYTGAACCACAGAAACTGTGAGGTAGCAAATGCTATTGTTTTAAATTCAGTTTGTGTTAATTGTGGTACAGCAATATTAAACTAATGTAGTATGCTATCTATTAAAGAAATTAAATTCATAATAAACCCTTCCCATTAAGTACTACTAAGAACAATGTGTTCAAAAATTTCCAGACATGACAGGCATGGTGGTGCATGCCTATACTCCAGGGATTCAGGAGGCTGACGCGGGAGGATCACAAGTTTGAGACCAGCYTTGGCAACTTAGTGAGATCCTGTGTCAAAATTAAAACAAATGAAAATAAAAATGTTTGGGGGAATGCAGCTCAGTGGTAAAGTACTCCTGGTTTCAATCCCCAGTAACAACAACAAAAAAAAATTCCCAGAAGCAATTTTTATAGAAATGGATGTGTGGTTTTAAAATTGGTCTATAAAAGCAAAAGGAGTGRAAGGATAAAAGTATTTGGAAAAGAAGAGAAAAGTTGGAGGACTCACACTATTTGATTTCAGGGCATACTATAAAGGTACAATCATGAAGATACTATAGTAGTAGTAAAGGAACAGACATGGAGTTCAATATAATAGATTTGAGAGTACAGAAACAATTATTTTTGACAGAGCTGCAAAGACAAACAATCTTTTTAAACAAATGAAGCTGGAAAAATCTAACATTCATAARCAAAACCCAAAACCAACCCAAACTATACTTTGCACCTATCATACTCAGTTTGGACTGCTATAACAAAGTACTGTAGCCTGGGTAGCTTAAAAACAACAGAAATTTACTGTACATAGTTGAGGCGGAAAATCTTGAGATTAGAGTGCCAGCATATTCAGCTTCTGGTGAGAGCCTTCTTCTGGGTTGCAGA